CTCCACCTGCTGGAGGAGACGCGGTGGGGGAAGGGGAGAGAGGCTGGATGTGCTACAAAGTAAGAATATAACTGGTACACAGAATCTGTGTTGCCAAATCAGGCACCTCCCACGGAAGACAGAGACCGAAGGGAGTCTCCCAACATCTGTGAAAAGCTGGCTGCACACGTCCAGCGTAAGATCAGGAGGCTGATGCCGGCATTTCGGCATCGTTTGCACTTTGCTCTTCATGGTGTTAGTAACACTACTTTTTCTCTGATTGTCCAAGTGCTATGATGCCAAATAAACATTCGTTGCTGGGATGGAGAACGTGCATAAACGAAGACAGTGAAAGACTGCAAATGTCTGCTTGTTGTAAACGTGCCACAGCAGGTGAGAAGGGAAGAAACGAAGGGGAAGCTGAACGCCAAGCATGGCCCGGATGAGCAGTGGGGGCCCGTGCTAGGCTCCTGCCTCACGCATCTGTGGCGGGGCTGGAGCCCTGCGTGCAAACCTCACCTCCAGGCCCAGTCTGCCCTCACATGTGCTCACCATGAGACCCGGGAGAAGGCTGACAGCAGGCCCATCTGCAGTTACCCGAAACCAGGAACTGCAACGGCCACCAAGCGTCAGAGCGCCGTGCCATCGCGCCACGTGGAATGTTGCACGGCAGACCACACGCGACATGGGTGAACTCACAGACGCATGCACGGTGAAGGGGCCAGGCCCCGAGCACGCCGTGTACGAGTCCGCTGTTCCCAGCACACGCACCTGGCCTGTGCAGGGGCCTGCGAGGACGACAGGGGCACACGCGGCCCCTGCGGGCAGACAAGGTCCTCTTCTGGGTCTGAGCACAGAGGTGAACTGACCTCGTAATTCACCTAGCTACGCGACTGCACTTTTCTTCATGTGTCTCTCACGTTACCGAAGTTTACTTTTTTAAAAAGCACTTTTACAGAAACCTTAGGGGCCAGGAGCACCACTTGCAGAGGCCGTCCTCTGAACTGATGGCTCCGTCCTGCAGGTGCTGGGCACCACCAGCTGCACTCGGTCCTTGTTACATGCACACAGGCCTCTGACCCCGCTCGGTGTCCAGTCACCAGCTTCCAGGGGCAGCAGAAGGCCTGCGGCCAGACGTGGCTCACGGCCTGTGCTCAGGTCTCCACACAGCATCCAGTGTGCAGCATCACTGCTAAGCAAGGAGGCTTGCAGGTACTGGGGGCTCAAGGCGTCCCCTTCATGGCCTGACCGCTGACCTCAGAACAGTCCTCATTGCTTGGGACAGGCCCTGCCTTTTCTTGCTGTTCCTTCAGACCAGCCCATGCAGAGAGTCTGGACGCACCGGAAACATCCCTCAAATCAGATCATCAGCACCAAAAGCACTCATCACATGAACCAGAAAGTCACCAGCGTGAAGGGTTCGTCTTGCCCTCCCATGGGAAAACCTGCTTAACCGCCAAAAAAGCAACTAAATACTCCAGACGCTGACTTCAGCCGGCCTCTGCTGGCCTTTACCGCCACGTAACCTTCCCACTCTCGGTCTCCCCAGCGGTAAAGCCACCCCCACGGAAGGGAGAAATCGTTTCTAGGAAATGATCACAGAATGCCAGCCAGATCCCAGAAACTGAACACATTCGTTCACAGCAAGCCCCTCCTGGACTTTTGTCGAGATTCAAGCCCACGTCACGCAGGCCCCCTAGGCTCAGTGTCCTCCCCCAGACCTGCATTTTGGTGCAATCTCCTTCCTTTTTCCTTCAGGTCAGTAAGAAAAATTTCAGAGGAGAAACTGCCAGCAGGGGCCCTCTTTCCACGGCGGCTGTTACGTCAGCGTCTTAACAACCAAGCCCGCTGAGAGCGGCAGAGCTCCTAGTCGAAGTCCCACGCGCTGCCGCCCAGCCCCGCGACCAGCAGGCCGGCTGGCCCCGGAGCCGCACAGCGCTGTGGTGCTCGGGGCAGCGCTTTAGTTTTGGAGTAAGTAGCGAAGTACAAAAGCAACAGCCACACCATTCCATCCTCATGGATCGAAGAGGGGCTTCGGGTGAGTTCTCTAACTCCCGGAAGGCAGCAGATGTTCTCACATCAGTGAACAGGGCTCAAAATAAGCATGAGACACCCCCCCGCCCCGCCAGTGGCGAGGCCTCCAGCTGTGATCCTGGCTGCCTGGGTCAAGGTCACTGGGGGACTGGCGGCGGGGCAGGGGGGGCATCATTCGAGTGCAGATTCCTGAGCCCCATTCTAAATCGGCTCTGAGTCAGCCTTGATGTCTGGGGTGAGGAGCAGGAACCAGGGTCTCCAAAGCTCCCCAGGTGCCACGTGCTGCAGTGATGTCCAGACATCACTCACAGAGGTGCCCTCCCAGCTCCCAACCGCCTCCCAGGGAGCAGCAGTCTCCCAGCCACTCTGCCACCGATTCCTGCAGTGAAACCTCAAAAGTTCTTTAAAACACCCCTTACAAAGTGCAGGTAAGGCCAGAAAACTGCTTATGCCACAGGACAGCCACCAGGGTGGTACCTGCTACGCTGTGAAGCCACGGTGGGCCCGGAGAATGAGTAAGACCCACCCTGCACAGGAATCCATGCACCGCAGAGCGCTGGGAACACCCGGGCGGGGTGCTCAGTGCCCTGGGAAACACCCAGACACAGGGAAAGGCTGCGGTATCACACGCCCCGTGACTTGGAAAATCTCCTTCTGAGCCGTCTTAAACTGCACTGAGAGAGAAAGCACAAACCTCAGACTCCTAAGAGGAGGCGAGCGTGGCGTTCCTGACTAGGAGGACTGAGGATGACAGACGTCTGTTCTCCCCAAGGGCAGCCTACAAATGGAGCAATCCAATCAAAATCCTGCTGTAATGTTTAAAAACAGAACTTGAGAAAATGGTTCTCAAGCTCTTACGAGAAATGAGCACATGACAAATTTTTTAAGTAAATGAGAAAAACCTTCTTGCTATCAAACTAAACCATAAAGCTACAGCAGCTGAGGGGAGTGTGTTGCTCAGCGGTAGAGCACGTACTTAGCACGCACAACGTCCTGGGTTCACTCCCCAGCAGCCCCCATTAAGTATATAAATAAATAAACCTAATTATCACCCCCCAAACAAAAACAAACAAACAAAACCTACAGCAATTAAAACGGAGCATCACCAGAACAAGAGCACACAGGAGAAGAGGAAGTCAGAGGAGCACCCGGGAGCAGCCCCGACCTTCCTGGACTGTGTATGTGCAGTGCGCGTGCACGCGACTGAGTGCGTGTGCCTGCACCAGCTCCCCGGCTCACTCTGCACACACACACACTTGGGCTTTTTCTCAGGCACGTGTCATGTCACATCTTGTTTTTTGCACAAAATTGCACGTGCTTTCTGTACAAAGTGAGGGAGAGCATTTCTTCAGGACTCCTGAAAGTGACTGCGGGCTCACGGCACAGGCACACGGAATGGCAGGCGCTGCCAACATTCCAAGCAGGATGCAGCCCCAGTTGTGCACTAAAGCGGGGCCGGGGGACAGAGGCCATGGCGAGCTCTGCAAAGGGCAGGCCCCAAGTGCTCCAGCTTCCTCGGAGCAGGCAGGTTCACATCACAGAACCAGGAAGGCCTGAGGGCCACGAGAAAGCACACGTCACAACACAGCCCAGCCCACGCTGCGGGACCCCCCGAGCTGCCACTGTCACTCCAGCCCCGGCGGGTGCTGCTCGTCTGCGTGGGCACCTGCATGGGCACCTGCATGCACGGGGTCTCTCCATAGTAATAACTAGGTTTTTAAAAGAATAACTGAGGCAAAGCAAGAAAGACAACAAAAAGCACGTGCTCTGGGCCTAAGTGTGCTTTAGATTATGGGGAAATGACGAGGTTTCAACATATACACAGCGAGATGGCTTTTAACATTAAAATAACTTCTTAACTATGGTGCCCACCAAGATGAGGACCCTTTCCCGAAGCAAGTCAGAGAAGGGGGAGGATGCGGTGCTGGGAGGGCCCCTAGGCTGGCGCCGGCTCTGGCTGAACCAGGACGGCCGCCGAGTCCGTCCCTGGAGGCTAGCCAAGCTGGGGGACTTTGTGCCCCTCCACTCGCACAGCGGCCACTGGTGCACCACTCCAGGCCTGAGGCCCATCCCAGCAGCCTCCACAGCCTGGCACTCGGGACTCCGAGTCATGGGACCGAGCACACCCTCCAGGGAGGGACACTCTCCTCAGGACTGACGCGGTCCTGCACCGCTGAGCTCCCCGACACACCTGCTACTCTGCCAGGAGGGCGGGTGGGGGTCGGTGTGCTGCCTTGGTGGTAGAGATGGTGCCCTGTGGCGACAGAGACCACACCCCCCGCCACCGGCGTGCTCACCGCAGAAGGATAGAGCTGCCAACCAACTCCACAATCAATTTGCGGTCCCACTAGATTTCCCTCGTACGGGATTTACAGGCAGACACACCATCGGTCTCTACAGAGTCAGGCGCGCAGCTCTGCCCGCTGAGGCTGCCAGGGGGAGCGTGCAGTGCTGAACGTCACCGCTGGGTCAGCGTCACCCACAGCAGCAGGAGCCACACATCAACGACGGGCAAGCCTGGTCTACCGGGAAGGGACGTGCAGGCTTCCCTGCCCTCCTCTCACCAGCCCTGCCGCTTCAACGTCAACCCTCTTCGGTGACACCACACTCCACCTGCAGCAAGCCGAAACCCAGAGCTGCCTCTGGGGACACATGGACGGCCCGGGAGGAGAAAAACCTTAAAATATGACAAACGGAGATGCTGGCGAGGGAGGAAGGGGAAAATGAGCCCAGATGTGGCACTGGTCCCGGAGACCCTGCAATGCCCTCAGGGAGCCAGACATCAGGCAGCCGGTGCCAGGCGGGGCTGCCCCGCAGGCTCTCCCCTCACCTCGGCCCCAGCGCGGCTGGCATCCCAGGGCTGCGTGGTCTGTGCTCCGCCGAGGCCGGAACTGCCCCACAAGAGCCGATCGTGTCACTGTGAGCTCGAGATGCTAGCATAGGACAGGAGCCAGCAGAGGGGTCAGACTCGCCACCTAGTGCCTTACCTGACTTGCTCCCAGGTCTTGGTGGCCAAATGCAGGACCCAGAGATCCTTGTAGTGGTAGAACTGCTCCCCGTCGGGAGAAGCAAACTCCCCGCCGAAGACCCACAGCTGTCCGCCGCCCTGAGGCACCACCACCGCCTGTCGAAAGAACGTGTCCGTCAGGCGCAGCCGCACAGCCCTCGGCAGCACCATGGTGGGGGCTTGGCTGCACCCACGCCCAGCGATCGTCTCCTCTGCCTTGCAGGGGAGAACTGCAGGCCGCTCATACACCAAGTCCTCCTGAGTCAAAAATCTAACACACTCGCATGCATTCCTAGGTTGCAAGATTAAACCCTCTTCTCTGCAGATAAACCCACATCTGCTGACGTCTGTTAAAATGGACACAATTACGTCAACAGTTAGTGGTAGTTACAACAGAAACCAAGAGTATTTTTTAAGTAAGAATCTGTACTTAATCATGAATCCCTTACCCAGCTATCAGGCACTGGACACCCAACTATACTAACGACTAAAATATACATGTAATATGCAGTGTTTACATACATTGTTCACTTTTTTATTTTCTAACCACTGAAGCCTGACAGCAACGCCAAGGAGAGCAGTGAGAGCAAGCCCCTCCAGGGCTGCCGCCTCCCTCACCCGGTCGTCAGCACGGAAGCCCCGCTGACCAGGTGTCATGAGACGCCACATGTCCAAGACCCATGTGGGCATGCTTCCTGGTATGACTGGGCTTGCAGAATACCCGAGCACTCGCAGAACACGGGCACATCTCATGAACCAACCTGCTGACAGAGGGGGAGGCAGCTGAGCACGGAAACCCGGGGCTCATGTCCCATGAGCAGGATCACCCTCCGCGTTCCCAAGGGCACGCACTCCACAGAAGTCACGTGAGAACTCCCGACACCCCTGAGCTGGAGACGCACAGCTGCCCAAGCCACCTGGTGTCCCTCAGGGACCTCGCACTCCAGTTCTCCGTCACCCGCAGAGCTCCATCTCCAGGGGCGAGGCCAGCATCCTGGACTCGCAGCCAGGGGTCACCACGCTGGATGCCCCAAGAGAAGAGGCAGGCAGCATGCAACCAGAGAGGCCTTTCCAGAAGCGGAATCGTATCGCAGAAGAGAATGGATTCAGCAAGTCACAAGAGGGCACGTACTCTCCCGCACAGAACCAGCTTCACAGGTGCAAATACAAGAAAGCAGACTTGAGGACCTTTAAAGGCGACTCCTAGACCACTAGCCCAGGGCTTCTGAGCTCCAGGCTGCACTGTCTGTCGAAGCTGTCAGGGCCTTCCTCCAAATAGGGGCCACTGTTGCGGAGATGGTCACAGCCTGGCTGGTTTTATGGGTAGCTGACCTGTGAACCAAGTGTCTGCAGGGACAGATGTCACAGAAATGACTCCTTCTGCGAGCACCCCGCAAATGTGGGGACACCGCCCTTTCGGCGAGTACCACCGGGGAGCAGGTGCCGGGCCAGCCTGCCCAGCGAGTCCCAGCCCAGGGCCCAGGCAGCAAAGCAGGCAACCAAGCACGTCCTTCACACCAGGGGCAGGGCAGCGGACAGCCGCGGTCCAGCCGGGGGCCCAGAAGCAGGGCCCACGGCAGCAGGCACAGCGAGGACCGGGCAGGGGATCTGGGTCAGGGTCTGCTAGGTGCCAGGGGCTCCCAAGCACTGTGTGAATGCCTCCTGCCCTCGCAAACCTCCACAGACAAGCACACAGTGGACGGCCAGATGGGGTTCCCAGGAGACCCGCCCCAGGCACCCTCCAAGCACCCCCAGGCTCCCACTGCAGTGGGCGTTCTGCACATCACTGAGTTTCACGCTGCAGAACCTCAGCTCCGGCACCTCCGCAGCTCCAGCCCTGGACTAACTGGGGGGTCCTGGTGACACACTTAGGCCCCCTGCCCCCATTTTCACTCAGTCCTGTGCATCCTCTCAGCACCGGGGACTGGCCCACTGAGACACAAGCCAGTCTCCTATCACTCCAAAACCCAGACGGGTGAGTCAGCTCAGGTCCCAGCCTAACTTGATGAAGACAGGCGGTACACTGGTGCCACGCACTACAGCGGAGCTTTGAAGTACGATAGGAGGCCACATAACGTCCCAGGACAACACTGCAAACAGTGCGTCCACTGGGAAGAGCAGCCCGGAAAGAACACGCATTCGTGCACGTGCACACACACACTTCTACACGTATGTACACACGTGGGTGCACACGTGCGTTCCAACTAAGATGAAACCCAGAAAGACGTGCAAAGAAAAGACACAGAAGACAGAATTAACAGTTCTGGGAGGAAGGACAATGGACTCACTTTCCTTTTCTTCTTTTCACAATGAATTATTTATTTCTCACATAGTTTTTAAAGCCATTCTTGAAAAAAGAAGTCAAACTCCAGACAAAAAAACACAGACTGAGCCAGAGCTCGCCTTCCTCGTCCCAGCACACCAGAACTCTGGGGCCCACACCAGGGCGGAGGATGGTCAGTAACCTGAGCGCCCTGTATTACCCTCCTCCTCAAAGGCAGCACAATCCAAGTGAAAAATTCACGGCCTGTCCAGGGGAAGAGGAAAGCCACAGAAAGGCGGGCATGAAACTTCCACTCCTGGCCACGCCGGCCCCCACCACACACAAAACCTCAAAGGCAGCTAAGCCAGGCAACAGGATCCCCAGACGTGGTCAGCTCAGCCTCCATCCCTGCAGACAGCACCCCCGTGGCCTTGCAGCGCCGAGGAGGCAGAGCTCAGAGTTCAGGGAGGCTGAGGCAGCTGAAGGCGCAGGGCCAAGTCCCAGAGAGAGAGCACCTGGAAGTCCGGGGGGCCCCTGGGGCCTGCGCACACTGAGCCGCACGTGTGCACACTGAGACCCCCGGCGGCCGGTAGGTGGCCACTTGACCACTGAGCTATACCCTCCCCGCCTAAAAATGCCTTTAAATAATAACTGTCTAAAGCAAAATCAGTCACGTTGTGCTGCGGGGCTTCCAGTATATATAGAAACAAGATACATGACACCACCCCCCCACAAAGGACAGAAGGAAACCTGGGTCTCCCACCACAAGGCTCTCACAGCTAACAAGAAACAGCACGCCGTCTGTCGGGCGTCTGTGCTTAAGCTAGAGGTATACTGCAAGCCCCAGGGCAACCATGAACACAAAACAAACAAAAATGAGGGGCTGCTAGTAAGCCAGCGGAGAAGATTAAAAAAAAAAAAAAAAGGAATATTGAAATACAATCAGCCCAAAAGAAGGCAAGGAAAAAGGAAAGGGAACACAGGACAGGTGGGACAAACAGGAAACAAACAGCAATATCAAAAACGTCACTGACAGCTACATCAACAATCACATTAAAGGTGACAGACACACCAAGGAAAACGCAAAGGCTGGGGGAGGGTGCAGCTCAGTGGCAGAGCACATGCTTAGCATGCACGAGGTCCTGGCTTCAATCCCCAGTACCTTCCTTAAAAACAAAATAAAATAAAATGTGCATTTCCCCACATTAAAAAAAATTTTTTTTAATTTTTTTGAAAAAGCAAAGACTGACCAGATTTAAAAAACAAGACCCAATTATAGTTCTGTTTACAAAAAATGTACTTTAAGTGTAAAGACACAAATGAAAGAGTAAAAGATCAAAAAAGCTATCCCATTTAAATATTAATCCTAAGAAACCTGGGGTGGCTGCACTGACAGCAGGCAAAGTAAGGTTATCGGGGATAAGCCAGCGAGGACGTGGAAGATGTGACCACCACCCACCCACCTGAACTAATCAGGACACCACACCCGACAACTAAGGGCGCGCACGTTCTTCCAAACACACTCAGGACGTGCGCTAAGACAGACCACACAGCCACAGTCCCCTTCTCAGAAAGTTCCAAAGGACTGAAATCATACAAGTGTTCTTTGCAACAAGATATCTGGGAAATCACCAAATGTTTGTTAATTAAACAGCACGCTTCTGCAGCCAGAGAAGACAACTCGCCAAGCAAGTCCGGCCATTCACTGTGAGTGATGATGGAACACACCAAAACGTGTGGGGCGCAGCGAAGCCGTGCCTAGGGGAAAGCGAGCACGTTCAGTGCTTATATTAGAAAAGCCTTTATGCACTAACAGTCGCCTTACAGGGGTCCCAGAAAGAGGAGAGAAAGAACCTGAGAAAGTATTTGGAGAGATAATAACCAAAAACTTCCCCAGCTTAGGAAAGGAAACAGTCATCCAAGTCCAGGAAGCACAGAGAGTTCCACACAGGACCAACCCAAAGAGGAGCACACTGAGGCACACAGTCATCAAATCGACAATTAAGGATAAGGAGAAAATACTAAAATTAGCAAGAGAAAAGCAACAAATAACATACAAGGGAACTCCCAGAAGGTTATCAGCTGCTTTTTCAGAAGAAACTCTGCAGGCCGGAAGGGAGTGGCATGACGTATTTAAAGTGATGAAAGGGGGAAACTTACAACCAAGAATACTCTATCCAGCAGGGCTCTCTTATTCAGACTCCGTGGAGAAATCACAAGCTTCACAGATAAACAAAAGCTAAAAGAATTCAGCACCACCAACCCATTACAACAAATGTTAAAGGACCTTCTCTAGTCATCAAACCGTAAGAAAAGAGAACAAAAAGAAAGAGGGGAAATAAAAGCACCCACAAGATTGCTTTGGCAGTTCGGGGTCTTTTATGGTCCCATATACATTTTGGAATTGTTTGTTCTAGTTCTGTGAAGAATGTCGTGAGTACTTTGACAGGGGTTGCACTGGATCCGTGGATTGCTTTGGGTAGTGTGGCAATTTTGATAATGTTGACTCTTCCAATCCAAGAACACAGACATCTTTTCATTTCTTTGTATCGTCTTCAATTTCCTTCATCAGTGCTGCGCAGTTTCCAGGGTACAGGTAACCTCCTTGGTTAAGTTTACTTCTAGTTATTTTGTTGTTTGTGATGCAATGGAAAATGTTTACGTCAATTATAAAATTCTGGGTTTTGAAGTGAGGAAAAAAAAAGAGAATGAAGGGCCTCAAATGGCAAATATCCTTCTTTCTTATGGGTGAGCTGTATCCCATCACACACACATGCTGCATCTTCTGTATCCACTCATCTACTGACGTGCACTTAGGATGCTGCCAGATGCTGGCAATCACAAAGAACGCTGCTGTTAATAGCAGGTGTATGTATCTTTTTGAGTTAATTCTTATTTTGTGGTTGGCTTTATTCCTTTGATAACAATGTAAGTTTAAAAAGCTAAAGCTCTAAACGTTCTTAGAAGCAATGAACAGTAGATATATGTAAGTTTTAAAAAATATGTGCAATGCACTGTATATATGAATTTACATTCAATATATTGTATATGTGCAAATTGTAACAATTCTACCTAATAAAACAGAAAAATGAAAAAGAAAGCTTTTAAATAAGTAGATCTACCATTTCCACTTTAAGAAGCTAGAAAAGGTAAAAAAAGAAGAAAAAAAGTAGAAATTATTGAAAAAGAAAAATGGATAAATACAGAGAAAAAAATCAATGAACCAAATACCAAGGAAACAGGGAAAAGTACACACGAGCACTTGAACACACCTCTGTGTGGGACCTGGCGCTGGGACTTCCAAGTCACCTGGAACTTCCATCTCCAAGAACTGTTTCAAAACCGTACCTGAGAGGCACCAGGCAAAGTATTCCCCTCACAGCCTTAAACCAGGACTGTTCTTTAAAGATTAAAACGCAGAAGGCACCTTCATTGCCTCATGCAGCCCCAGTCATCCAGTGCAACCAGGAAATTCAAGTCAAACAAACCAAGCGAACGGCTGGTCGCTGGAGCGCAGGTCACGCAGCAGTGCCAGACGAACACCCAGGGCCACCCCTCCAGTCCACGTCGGCACAGAACAGCGCCCCAGAGAGAAGCCCTTAGAGGGCACCAGTTAAAGACATGTCGTGATAAAACACAATTGTACTTCCTGCTAAGTTATTTAAATCCTTAAGAAATTATATAGTGAAGAAAATCTCTTTACTTGCCGTTCCTAAAGAGGAAGAAAACGGAGCTTAAGATAAATTCATCTTTTTCCTTCCCTTTTGCAAAAACAGCATGTGCGTTGCCTCTGGTTAGCACTTTGCTCCCAGAGCTACTGACGACGCCCACAGACGTCTCTGCCAGCACTTCCTACGTCCACGTGGACGGCAAAGCAGTCACACTACTGTAAGAGTGTATACAGTTCACTCGCCTTCAACAAGGTGTGTTTTAAAATTCGTTATTTCAAGTAATCTGCCCTGTCAAATATTTTTAAACAACTATTTGTGGGTAAAAATGAGTATCAGCTTTGTATCAAAGCAACAAAACAGAAAAAGAAAAAAGGAAAAGAACGCCTTCTTGGGTAGAAGGATGACACGTGAAACTTGGGACTCGGCTGTCGGGTCTCATAACCCAAGCGCAGAGGCTCCAGTCTAGCCCCGGTTCCATGTTACCCCCAAATCACCTCCACGTCATAACCGTGGAGCAGGTGGAACGGCACACAGTCTGGCAAAGAAGGACTCTAGTTCAGACCCCTGATCAGTGCCAAATTCTCCAAGAACGTATTTTCTCAAGGTCACTGCTGGTTATAACTGAGCACATAATAAACATGAAGTACTCTACCACATCCTAAAGTGTAAGAAAAACAGCTACTTGCTAAGGGTACCCACAAAATGCAAATTTACCTCAAAACATAACAGGCTCAGGGCCAGTGAGGATGTCTTAGAGAGTTCCCTTCAGAAGGAGCCAAAGCACTTTAACAAAGTCACTTCCCGCGATGCCTTCTGAGACGGGTCCCCCGACCGCGGGCTAACCGGGCAGGAGCCCGCCGCTCACAGGCTCTTCAGCAGAGCCAGGCTGGGCTGGAGGGAGGCGAGGGCGGGGCAGGGCGGCAGCTGCACGCAGCGCCCACTCACTGCACCATCCCGTTTGTCTCAGCATCGAACCAGGTTACACCCCTGGCCCTCCTAGAAGTGATGAACCCACGGACTCCAGAAATAAAGCAATAAAAAATAAAACTCCTTTCAGTATGTACACTCATGCACACCCCGGAGCTGACAAAGGCCAAGCACTGCCCAGTGACCAAGTGGGCCAAGGAGGAGAAAGCAGGACGGGACTGCCCCAGGCACGTGGCGGGGCTGCCTCGCCAACGCCCACTTCCCTGCTTGTCCCAGGAGGCTGCGTGCTTCCCAGGTGTTTGGGTTTCTGTGCTGTTCTCTTAACTGGAATAAAATCATGTCCAGAAGACCTTACGTTTACAACCTTCTCTCTAAATGCCAGAAGAAGAGCACAACGGAGTCCAAAACGACACTGAGACTCCGTGAGCGGATCCTGATGTCAGGCACAGGCGCCACTTTTGTGATAGCCAAGTCCTAGAAATGCGTGCCACCATCAGGACCAAAAACCACAAGACGTGGGGCATCACCAGGGGTGGCCAACATGTCTTTTCTGTCACTATATCGCAGCCCTAGATGGTGCCTCGCCCATCAAAGACACTCAGTATTTCCCAATGGACGAGGCGGCAACGTCTGCTCAGGTGGAACGCACTGAAGCTCTGGCTCAGCGGGAGGAAGAAGACTTCGGCAGCTCACACGGACACCCTTGCACAATTCTGCTCATCTCAGCAACAAGCCTTCTGTGTACGTTAACTTCTCCATAAACCAATCACTGCTCGTTAGTGCACGAAGGCCGATAAGAACAGAGATGAGGTTTTTCAACCACATGGAACTTTTTTCCTATTCTATGTGAGTGTGCACTTTGCTTTAAGTGCCTTTAGTTACTGCTTTGGGAGAAACCACCTACCAGGTGAGTAAGACATCAAGGCCTCCCCCCCCAACCCCCAGCAGTCCGCTGGGTCAGGCCAGGCGCAGTCCAGGCGGGGGTCTCAGAGCAGCAGCCCAGGCCTGGCAGGCCGCCGGGCACACCGCCAGCAGGCCTCGCGGCCCTATCCCTTTTCCCACTGGCTGCATTCATTTAGAAAAGGTATTAAACTCTCAGATTACACACTGAAATAAACCTCATCCCCCAAAATCCAGGACCTAGGAGAAAAAGAATGAAGGGTACACATGTAAGCTTTCTCTTTCTTCTCCTTTCGCTCCTAACTGATGAAAGAGGAGACAAAGAACATGGCTTCTACCATGACATTTGTTAAACTGGTGTAGAGTGAGGGAACTGGTATGTCCCAGAGTGTAATGTGGTAGGATGAGAACTGTTAATGATCTTTAGGTGAAAGACTTTATAACCAATTTTCTGTTTCCCACAGCTCTGACTTGCTATAAAATCCACCGAGTAAACAGCAAGACAACCTCAACTACAGGGACATCACTAAGCCCCAGACGAATAAAGTCCCCCTAAGGTGTGTGTGTCGAGCACCCTGCCTGAGTAGCTGACTTAAAAACCTCAGACTCACCAAGGAAGCCCCCAGCCTTCATTCCTGGGGCCCAGGAACTGATGAGGTGTTGGTGGGGTTGCGGACTCAGGGGGCTCCCTGCCGGGACAGAAAAGGACAGGACTGGGTCCTCGGCCTGGAGCAGATTCATTCTCGGAACTGGAGTGGACTCTGGCGAAGGGACTCGAACTTATCGAGACCCGTGTGTTTATTAAGACCCAAGCTTACTAAGATCTAGTTCTTAAACCAGAAAGCAGTGCACGCCTCTTTCCCAGACGATGAGCCGGTCCAGGAGCCTGCAAGGCTTGGAGTGCAGAGACATCTACGCACTTCAGGTAGGCGGGTCCCCTCGCAGACTCGATTTCCATCAGGCGGCTACTTCTGAGCCCAGAATCAGACGAGGGGAAGCACACACCGTGGAGGGCGCCTCAGTCACCCCGCGCCAGGCCGGCACCGGGGAGGTATCGTGCCTTCTCGTTGTTCTTTGAGCCCCAACACCATTCCAAGTACCAGGTTAGAATAACGAACAAGACAGACCAACGCCTGTCCCTGTGGAGCTTACGAGTCTGAACAAGGAACTCCCCACAGGCAGCAGCTCCGACAGCTCCCCGGGGCCAGCAGAAACCAGCCAGCAGCATGCCAACCGCGTGCTCCTGCCCCGTATCCCTGGTAACGGCTCTTCCCTCTACCACAGTTATTCTCCGTAACCACTCATACCTGCCTCTGAACACTGCTTTCTCATTCCCCCTCTCTGGTCACGGGATCCTGGGTCTCTGGGAGCCTCTCTCGCTCAAATGGAGAGGGAGCACTTTGCTGACTGCTCCACGCCAGGCACCACACCATGTATTCTCAAACCACCTGGAGGAGCAGGAGCTCTTCTCCCAGTGGTACAGGCGAAGACACTGAGCACAAAGCAGCTCAGTGTCAAGTCCAAGTCACAGACAGGGCGTGAGGACCACATGCGAGGCCCAGCCGCCCTGTACGAGGCTGCCCATCATTTACCAACTGTCGGGCCCATCACAGAGCCCTCAGTGACAGCCAACAGCGAGGAGGGTCACACCAACACGCACCTGGTGAGCACAGCGCCTCGGAGGCGGACTAGGGATGTCAACTTTGGTCCAGGCATCCTTCCGAATGTTGTAGATGTAGAGTTCATTATATAAAAATGTCTGCAGAAAGAAGAGGCACTTTAGTGTCCCAAACGATCCTTCCATACAAGCGACGGCCAGGGGAAGGGAGGGTCTCAGTCACTAGCTCTTCCCGGGAAAGGGTTTCCTAAGGTGGCTCCTGGATCCTTTCGGATGATGACAACGACAAAGGCCACCTCTGCACCACCAGGCAGGGAAGGTGAACTCATGCTTTTCTAACTCTGTCATTACAGCTCTGAAACACAGGTCTTTCTGGCCTGCTCAAAACTAAAAATTAGCTCTACAATTTAGCAGCACTTTCCCTGTTCAAAACACTGCAGGAAAGCCACAATGAGGAAGAACAGGGCTAGTCCGCCTCACAAGGGCAGTACAAGGCGGCCCTAACGGTCTCTAAAGGAGCCCGGTAGCTTGTCAAGGACCACGCTGCATGCCAGTCCTGACATCCAATGGGAGAGGAATTAAAGTGCTTTAAATTAACTTTACTCTAAATGAGACCCATGAAAATTCGGAGAGAAAGAAAAAAATATATACTTTACTTTTTGGCCATTGAAATATTCACCTCCAAAAAGGATTAATTCATCTTTCTCAGGATGAGCGGAGAGTGAGGCATTTAACCTGCAGGAGACAAAAGGAGCAGATTAACAGAGAATCAAACCATCCCATGCCCCACCTGAAAGCCGTCCTCCTCTCCACCAGCCACAGGCCTTTTCTAAACTTCTGCTAAAGTGGAGCCTGGGACTGAGAGTGGAGGCTGAGGCACAACCCATAAAGGCAGCCTTGCGGTCATAACACTAACACCCAGGCTCTCTCCCCTAGGACGGCCTGGCAGTGAGAAGTCTAGCTGTTTCTACTAAAGTGCCAAATTTCCCAGAACTATCCTATTTTAAGGGTCTGTCCTCGTCAATCACAATCAAAACTGTTGTAAAAGATCATAAGTAAGCATTTCAACAGATGTCGCAGATCCCTTCCACCTAGAAATTGCAAATACTTTTCCTCTTACTTCATACACAAGGACAAGAACACCATAAGGGAATTTTAAGTACGTCCCGACCATTTGGGTAGAAAACAGAGGATGGTGACCGGGAGGGTCATCACAGGAAAACATCCTTCTTGCAGAATCCTCTCCGGTGGCATTCCCCAAGGTGCCTTCCACAACAGTAATTCCAAGATGCTTCTCAAGGGAAAAGGGATTCAAGGTCAAGTTTGGAAATTCTGAAAGCTGTTTTCCTCTTGAGGATTTACTGTACACAGAAACATTCTACAGGCTGAGAGATTCTCTAGTAAAGAAACCCGTGTTACAACAATGCGGCCGCTGTGGACAACAGTCTCGTGGTTCCTCAAAATGTTAAACACAGAAACTACCATATGATCCAGCAATTCCTCTCCTAGGTACAGACCAAAGAAAACTGAAAACAGGGACTCAGGCAGACACTCGCATGGCACGTTCATTACTGCACAGCATCACACACAACAGCCCAAAGGCGGAGACGACCCAAGTGTCCAGCAGCAGATACACAAAATGTGGTCCATCCATACAATGGACTGATCCAATCCTGGAAAGAAATGAAGTTCACATTCAGGCTACAGTGCGGACAAACCTTGAGGACGTTACATCAAAGGACAGCAGCCCATCACAAAATGACAGATAGTGTGTGACTCCACTTGTATGAAACGCCAGGAGAGGCGGATCAGAGGGACAGGAAGCAGAGGAGGGGGACCGGGGTGGGGGAGGGGCGGTGGCAGCTTAATGGGTATGGAGTTTCTCTCTGGGGTGGTGATGATTCTTGGAAGTAGATGATGGTGATGGCTGCACACCACTGGAAATGTAACCCCACTGGACAGTCCGATTAAAAGAGAGATTAAATTGGAAATTCTACATTGTATGTATGTTACCACAACAAAGAATTCAAGAAAAGGAAACCAGTGTTTCCCAAAGTTCTCTGACCTTTAATCTTTTCTCACTTATTATTATCAGTTTTCTGTGGGAAAGTAACAGATACAGCTTTGGAAGCAATGATCCCATTCAGGCCCAGGAAAGGGAAAAATGAAGCCAGATTCCTGATCGAATTTATTACATGAAGAGCAGGAAGGACCTCCGACTTTGGGAGCTGCTGGAAAGGGGCTTGTGTCCACCCAGGGGTGACCCACTTTGCTCCTGACCCAGAGCAGGGACGACGATGCCCCTGTGCGAGGTCACCGGGATCCAGGGCCAGCCCTGCATCAAGGCGGCACTCTTACCGCCTCCCTTCCCAGAGTGCTGCACCCAGGCCTCCACAATGAAGGAAATCATTTCTCAACTGAACAAGACAGTCCCAGATGCCTGTGAAGTTAAGGTGTTTCCCCTTCCCTGAGGGACACAGAATCTCTTCACTGGGTCATCCAGCCTCCTGAGGCTCCTAACTCCATCACCACGTGCCCTGGCTCTACTGAGAGGAGCAGATACAACAATTACGGAGCCCAGGATGAAATTCTAGGACACATGGAACTCAGACGCCGAGGGGACAAGAGTTGAAGCAGAAGTAGCAGCAGCCGAAGGAAAACACAGCCTGCTCCCCTCACCAGCTCCTTCCACAAGAGCCTAAAACCCTACAAAAGCTCTGACTGTCTCACATAAACTACAGACTCACTTAAATTGGCTTATAGACGATTTGTTTAACAGTCACACTTTTCATGTGGAAATTCAAAAGCACTATGAACAAATACAGCAAAAAGCTATTTTGATTTTTAATAATTAGGCTTATTTATTTATTTATTTATTTATTTATTCTTACAGGAGGTACTGGGGATTGAACCCAGGACCCTGTGCATACTGAGCATGTACTCCGCCACTTGAGCTATACCCTCCCCCAAAAGCTATTGAAATTTAATGTTTTCCACCTGTGATGTGCACTTTACAAACCCAAGAACCAGGAAAAGCTCACTGGGACGATGCTTTAGTCCACAAATTACCACCAGCTGGAAGGCTTTCAAACCTGCGCGAGCTCCCTGATGAACACCTGTGCCTGGAGACCTCATTTCCATGTTTCTGTGCAGCCATAAAGCTGAGTGGCCTCACTCCATTCTTCAAAACGGGAGAATGCTTTCAAATTCTCATGTGTAAGGTAGAAACGAAAAAAATGTTTTGTGGGAGCTGATCTGGCAGGTTTTAATGATGAAAATGCCCCAAGTGCCTGCTTATTTATAAAAACATGGTGCCTACTCAAGCAGTTTTCCCATCTATAACAGAAAACGGTCAGAAGCTACGAGAAGAGTCTGTGCTCGCTTACCGTGGGGAAGGTGGGGCGCAGGGCGTTTCCACAATCTGGGTCTTTTTGGCATCCAGCGTCTGGAAGTGGGCTATGAGAGCTTCAAGGTCCTCCTGCAGGCAGACAAACAGTCACACGTGAGACGTTTTCTTAAATCCTATCACGTGGCCAAAGCCTGGGTCAACTTCCCCCAGTCCTTCTGAGCTGACAGGTCCAGTCACATCTGTGAATTAGAACTTGTTCCTTCCAATTCGAAGACACAGAACCTGACACATGGGAAAACACCCAAAGCTTGCGCGTGTACCACCTCATTCCCAAACCTCAGGCCCCCGCCCCGAGGGGCCTTCCTCTTAGACAAGCCCGCCCAACTCCACGCCAACACCTTCAACCACGCCTGGAAACCCAGGCCTGGGCTGTCCCACCAGCCAGCTTTGCTGTCTGCAGAGCAGAGTTTGATATCTTCCCGTTCATTTCTTTATTTTGTATCCTCCTCCCTCCGGCCAAATTCCAGCTCCAAACCACTTCGCGGTTGTGCGACCCTGAACTGCGTAACCTGTCAGGCAGGGATGCCAAAGCTACCTAACCCGCTTGCACGCAGCAGACACTCATTAATCATTATAGATAGCCCCAGGTTAGGCAGCCCGTGAGCAAGTCAGTAGAGAGCAGAACGCTTGACGCTTGCCTTTAACTTCAGCACTGAGCCATTTGCAGAGCCTGCCAAGGAGGGAGGGGGAGAAAGGAAAGACAGAGAGACAGAGCCAGACACAGAGAGGAAGGCCGAGATTGCCACCAACTGTTACGGAATATCCTCCAGTTCCACTTACTCCACTGACGCTCACCGCTCAGGGCTGCTGTGAGGATCACTCACCCACTTTTAAAGACGAGAACTGAGGCTTGCAGAGGCGAGCCCGCCCAGCCCTGCCCCTCCCAGAGCCCCACAGGGGGCCCAGCGTCGCCCCCGACCCGGGACGAAGGAGGCCACCCCGAGGAGCGGGGCAGCCCGCCTGGGGGAGGACGCGCTCACCTCCTCCTTCCGCGAGCGCTTGGACACCTTCTTCTCCATCTTGGCGGCAGTCTTCTCCGCCCCGCGGCCCTTCTTCTCCTTCTTGCCCTTCTTGCCCATCGCGCCGAGTGCGAGGAGACGCCAGGACCCAGGGAAGTGCTCAGGTGCGCGGCGCGCCGGAAGTACGTGTTTCGTGCGGCGCGGCGCGAGGGAGCACGTCACTTCCGGCCCGGCCCGCACGCACTTCCGCGCAGGCGGCGCTGGGCGGGGATTGGACGCCTTGGCAGCGTTAGGTGCTCTATCTTTGGAAATGGGGCCGGGGGCCTCGGGCTGTGGGTGGCCCCCAACTGGAAGCTGCGGGCCACGCCCCGTCCCCTCCGCCTGCTCGCGCGTCCCCCGGCGTCCCCCGCCCCCGGAAAGGCGCTCGTACACTTGCAGGACCCGCGGGCGCCTGGCGAAGGCGCTCCCTTCTCCACGAAGAACGCGCCAGCTCCCGTTAGGGCCTGAGGGTACTGTGCTCGAGAGAAACAGCCCCGCCTAGGGCGAGAGGCTGCTCAGTGGTGCAGCGCGCGCTCAGCGTGCGGCGGTCCTGGGTTCCATCCCCAGGACCTCCTTTAAATAAATAAGTGAATAAACCTGCTTGTAATCAAGGAAATAGGACAAGCTAAGGACGACAAGCAACCATTTGGCAAAGGGAAAGCATAAGTCAGAAAATGAGCTCCTTTCCTACTTTGTGGGGGAACTGGCACAAGACTCAGCCTTAAAGGAGTTCCCTCAGATCCAGTCAGTTTACTAAACGCTGAGCAGCCGGTGGGAAAGCTTTGTCCACAAACCTAGTTCTTTAAGGAGAAAAATAAAATCGGGGGAACTGTAGGGAAGAAAAGGTGGAATCGGGTTGCTGCCTTCCGCAGCCCTGATTGTAGAAGTCAATCAGAAAAGAGCTGCAGAACTCCACAGAAAGCTGCCCCCTGAGACTGCGAACCTGCAACAGTGAGCTCAAACAGCCAGAGCCTCGCTCTCGCCCCTCGGAAATCCTTACTTAGCCCCCTAGGGCAATATGACTTTAAGAACGTGCCTAATCCTTTTATGCTTTCCTAAGCGTCCTGGGCAACCTGCAGGCAAGGCACTTGAAGCAAAATGGCCCTTCAGTCACAGCACGTCTGTCTGCAGTACGTTACAGTGGTTGCTTCTGAAGGCTGTGAGAAGGCAGCCTATTTGGAAGATTTGGAAGGAGCTGCTAGATGCAGGGTCTATTACCGGAAAGGATCTTGAAGCTAAATTGGAAGGCTCTTGGATTTATGTCATGGTGATTTACGTGAGGTTGAAGCTCTCAGTACCAAGAAAGAAGGAGACCAGAACATTTAAGATAAGATCAGAATCCTAAAATAGTAAAAAGATTAAGTACAGGGTCCTATTTTAGTGAAATTCACATTTTTGAAACTTCAATGGATAATCTTGAATCTAACACATCAATAACTTTTAGTGTACCTTTTGTGCGGTCAGGCGCCCTCTGCTGTCTTCAAGTTGAAATCCAGAGAGAAAAAAAGTAACAATGGTTGGAACTTCTAATCACCCTCACCGCTAACTATGGGGTGTAGTTGGAAAGATCTCCCAACCGTGGTGTAGATGAAGTGGCCCTTTGTACGTTCCCATCTGGAGAGGGATGATATTAAACCCACCTTCTTACTACACAGAATCCTTGACAGAATCAAGTGAAATAATTTTTAAAACCTTAGAGAAGTAAAAAGCAAAAGACAAGTTTAAGAGATTCTGTGTGCTGTGAGGTGAGGTTAAGGGTATTGATTGGATACTGCGATGTGGGCATGTTGTACCAGACCACGTGGGAGACAAAACAGAAGACCCACCCCCCAGCTTGGAGGAGGCTTTATTCTAAAGAGACAAACATGCTGACATTCCTCAAAGGCTTTGTGAAATGAAGCCAAGAAGAAGGGGGAAGGAGTGGGTGCGGGAGGAGGGGAAAGGAAAGGAAAGGGTCAGAGTGACATCAAATCCTTTGTTTCATATATTTTGTCCAGTTTTCTAGGCATCTGAGGGGAAAGGGTATATCCAGTCTCTTTGTTCCATCGTAGCTGAGAGCAAAATTTTCTCCTCTTTGGAGTTAAAGTGTGCTGTTTAATCCCCAAATATCTAAAAATCTTTTTGTTATTTCTTTCTAGTTCAATTCATAGACTTGAGACACCTCAGAGTTTCGTGCCTTCGGTTTCCCTTCAGTTCTGCTTCAGCTTCATCCTACAGATTTTAGTATGTTGTGATTTCCATTCAGTTCAAGATACTTCCTGATTCCCCTTTTGATTTCTTCTTTGACCCCCGGCTTACTGAGAAGTGTGTTACTTACTTTCCAGATATTTGGAGATTTTCTAAAGATATTTCTAGGAAGTAATTTTCTTTTTCTCCGACTGCTTTTGCGATTTTATCTTCATCTCTATTACCCTGCAGCTCCACTACGACATGTTTAGCTATTAATTTATTTTTATCCCTCTTGCTGGGGAATTGCTAGTCCTCGTGAGGCTGCGCGCGGGGGCTTTACCGTCCCTGGGGTTTCTCTGTCCTTTCCAGAGGATGCTGTTGCCCCCTCCTCTCTCCTCCAGTTAAATGCATGACATCCCTTCCCTCTCTCTTCCAGGGCTCTTAACCTCTCTTGTCCATTTTCCATCTGTTTGTCCCTCAGTGCTGCCTTCTGGAAAATTCGTTCTGATTCATCTACTGATTCATGGGTTCTTTGCTCAGTCTAATCAAGTCTGTCTAACTCATCCGTATGGCTTTGGATTACGATTAGTAATTTTCAAAGGTTCTGTTTTTCTTAAATCTGCTGGGTCAGTTTCATAGCTTTCAGTTCCTGCAGATGTTTTGAAGCTGGTCTCGTCCTTAAATAGAGTAAGTATATTCATCAGTTTGTGTTGCAATAATGCTGCGCAGTTTCCTTGAAGAACTGCTTGTGAATAACCTTTGAAAGATTCCAGCGAAAGCGTCTTTTCCCAGAGGGGAGCTGCCTGTGCTTCCGCCTGACAGCGCGGGCGCTGCCGGCTCCGGGCATCCCGGATCCAGATGTGAGGCTGGGACAAGCCAGGCGATGCGCTTTGAGGCTGAAAATCCACGTTGAGGGGTTGGGGGGAACTGCGCTTATGGGCATCTTGCCTTTCCACCCTGCTCGCCCCAGGGTGACATCCTCATGGTTCCTGAGGTTCAGGCTTATCTCCACCACGCCCTCACCCTTCAGGGACAGTTCTTGGCGTCTCAGCTTAATCTGCAAGGGACCTCCTTCTAGATCCCACCTGGGGCAGCCTTGAATTCGCCAAACTTTCCCTTGCCCCTTTGAAGGGTTTGTCGAACTGAGACAGGAAGGGAGGGGGCAGGGCACAGCCTTTCATGGAATGACACAGCAATTAACACCAAGATGTCGGGAGATTCAACTCCCAGTAGACCTTGAGGCCCAAGATGGAGGGAGATCTGACTTCCAGGAGACCTTCAGCTTCATTATGCGCTCATTGTAATACATTAGCGTGGTAAATGGCACCCCTGTAGGCGCAGGGACAGCCCCAAGGCTGACCATAAAAGGTCAAAAAGCTGGCAGTGGTCCAGTTCCTGGGAACCCCCGGCCCCTCCCCAGAGTAGCTGGAATAACCCTCCCCCTCGTCAGCACCTGAGGCGACTGAGCCCATGGACACCAACGGCCCCCCCCCCCGCACCTTGTGGCCGCGCGCCCTGCTGAGCAAGACGGCCCGCGCGCTGTGGGGTGTGTGTCTCTCTGAATGAATCTACCTCCACTCAACTGTGGCTCCTTCTTGAATTCTTTCCTGAATGAAGCCAAGGACCCTTACTTGGTGGGGCGCATCCCAGGGATTCAACCAAGTCCTAGGACGCGGCCCTCCTCTCGCCCCGCGTTTTCCCGTATCAAAACCGAAGTCAAACGTGGCAACGCTGGCTCATGCCCGAAGCAAGAGCCATCTCAGAGCCTAGCTTCTAGCAATGTTTTTGTTTGTATTTCCCTTTAGGCTCCGATTTGGTGATTCTTTACCCGCTGTTAGCTTTCCAATGCCTTGAAGAAGGCGCCTTTCAACATTTATCCAGGATTTTTCTGTTGTTTTAAACGAGAGGGTTGCTCCAAATGACCTCATCTACCTTGTTACGGCATTGCTTCAATCTTGAACTGGTGTTTTTCAGTGTGTTATTAATGTCTATTAACTTTGAGAGTTTGGAAAATACAGGCAAGTGTAGTGAAGGACACCTCCCGGTCACCCATAGTCTGCGGTCCCACGCGCGGCCGCGCGCAGCGTCAGCGGAGTTTCCGGCTGACTCACGTTTGGCAAAGACCCAGTGATAGTTCTAGTCACTTCCTTGGCCCACGGGTGCGGGGCCTCCCTCCTTCTTGCCGTTTGCCTGTCTTCTCTGTCACCCATCTCAAAGGCATCACACGAAGACCCAGGACACTGTAAGTCATCAGACGCAAGAACCGGGGACAGGGAAACACCAAAACCTCAATACGAGCACAGGAAGCGGAACGGGAGGCAGAACCAGGCGGGGTCGGCTGACTGTTCAACCTCACACGGACGTCATGTGGACATCTTTAATGTCACAGTGAGTCAGGGAGCAGGCTGTGACCAAGCCGTGGACCTGCAGCATCACGGCTGTCCCTGGGCCAGTGTCTCCCCAGCACCGCCCCCAGCCAGCTTGGCTACGCGCAGGGGTCAGCGGCACCAGCCTAGAGAAGGCACTGCGTGTGAGACTGCATCTCTGTCCCCGAGGCTAAATTTGCTTTTAAAAGGTTCAGGCGTCTTGACCAAATAGGTGAAGACACTGAAGATTCTTAAAATAAGTGGATTTTTAAAATCCCTAAAATATCGCCATTTTGAGCATCTGGCCCTTTAACCCTGCCTGACCCAGTCACCTCACAGTCAATAGCTTGGGGTTCATAACTGTAGCCTGTTAAACCCTGGCTGCCTGCGGCCTCTGAAAAGACCTCGCCCTCACTGACCTCTCCCTTCGCCAGAAGGGCTGTTCTCTCACTTCCAGGAGGAGGCCGGGTGTCAACCCTTCACGGAACTGCAGTTCCGAAACCTGCGTTCTGGGCAGGGAGCTAACCACATCCTTCTGATCTCGGCCAGACTCAAGAATGATGCAATCAACATAAAACGTGAAATGCCACGGAGACCTCTGTGTCGGAACCT